CTTGGCTATGCCAATGCCTTGCTTCTTTTGACCACCGCTTTATTGCAAGGTACAATCAAATGTTGAAGTCGTGGCGATTGTCGTCGATTTGCTATTTTTGAAGCGTTTCCATTGGGGTTTGAATGTATGGAAGTCGTGGCGATGGTGCGTTTGGTTGGGGAGAAGACAAGGCAGCAGCGGCAAACAAAACGACGATCAAGCAAAACGCCAATCGCACAGGCAAACGAGTGGGGAGGCAGGTGGGGAAACAAGTAAGGAGACAAGGCAGCAGCGGCAGACAAAACGCCGATCACAGCACACAAGCTGGGAGACAAGAAAGAAGGAAAGAAGGAAAGAAAGGGGCGTGAGCATATACATGATGAGGCAACTATATAGACAGAGGTTTTCATTCTGAGGGCTTTCCTTGCTGGCACGGGTTCTGGCCCCCTCTCTCTCTCTCTATCACCCTCGTTCCGATACCTCTTTGCAACTTGTGTGGCTCCAAGTAAGGTGCCCAGAGCCTGGTCCAAAGAGATGTCAAGGGACCACAAGGAGATTAACATCATTGCTAAATCATTGCGTTTCCATGTGGGAAGCTGGTTTTTGCAAGGACTATGCCGGGACCCCCCTCCTGGCGTCGCGTTTCCATTGGGGAACTCAAGTTTCCCCCTCATACTCATTAGTTCAACAAGTCTTGGCATAGCTATATGGCACAAGCCTACTCCGTCCGCTGCGGACTGCTCTGTTTCCCCCGTTTGACGGGTCCACAGGGACTCTCCTTGGGTACACCCTGAGCTCTCACTAAGGAGAGACACGCTTAGGAAACGCGTACTGACACGATTGCGGTTTGCCAGGCGCGGACGTAAGTGAAAATTTAAGGAATCAGGGTGAACATATATGTAAATGCAAACTCAAGTGACAGTCTCAACTCCTGAAAGCTGTAGCGTTACCAAACGTTCCAAAAGGCGACGGCATCGACGAGTGCGTGACGCAGATGCAAAACCGACGCAAAGGCCAGTAGTTTTGTTGTAGTTACCACTGGACCGATTGGGTAATGAAAGTCGTAACGCAGGTAGGTCACTGAACGTCTCCAGTGCTATCCTCAGGACACTGCAGAGAGCTTTGTTAAGTGGAACTCTGCAGGCCTGCTCCAATCCCCTGCTAGTCGAGTCCAGCATAGACCCCAACCAGTCTTGTTTGGACCAACAACTGTCAAAAACAATTTCTTGGTACGCCCTACGTTCCCCCCCAAGAGCAAACTGCGCTTTATCAATGATTTTTGTTGGAATTGGCATCGGTAATTGTTCGGCCACAAGAGAAGACAAGAGAAGAGCAGGACAATTAAGAGAAGACAAGAGGAGGACAACACCCGGTCAGAGAGCCCGGCCACAGAGATCAGGAGCGCAGCCAGTCCATGTGTCCAGGGCTGGTCAGCGCGGCCAGAGGACCAGAGAAGGACAAGCAGAGGACAACAGCAGGACAAGAGGAGGACAAGACCCGGCCACAGAGCCCGGCCACAAAAAGTTCAGGGGCGCGGCCAGTCAGTGTGGCCAGCTCTTTTTTCTAAGATAGAAC